TGTATTTGCTCCCTGGCTAAAGTCTTCACTTTGTAGAACAATCTCAGCTTGACATGGATCCTGTACCTTTCCATGCACACTCTTTGCAATGATTCAACTGGAATCTCTGGGTTTGCCTCCAAGTCTTGTATCAAATGTCAACAAAGCCATGCTGAAGAGACCATAGGATTCTCTTCCAACCTCCCACAAGCTGTATATTCTCCTTCTAGCTTCTTTATAGCCTAGCTGACTTTATCAATAAGGACTGCTGCATGAATCGTCCAATTGCAATCACTGATCAAACACCTTGTTGTGTATCTTTGATTGTCAGCATAGTCAACTGAAACAGAGAACCCTTCTAGTATGCAGTAATCTCTAAATACCTCAAGAAATTGTTTTTTGGTTTCAAAAATTGACCATGGTTCAAGTTCAATGGACCTAAATGGTAAGTGAGACCATACTTTGCCATTTTTGTACAGCTTGTCTCAAACATGGGACCCGTCTAAGTAATCTTCAAAGGTCTTCTCAAGGATATTATCAGCTAGATCTTCTTCTTCCACAATGTAGTCATCCTCAATGTTCAAGTCCATATCCAAATCATCCTCAACATCAGAAACTTCATAATCATCATCTTCACTATCATCGGAAGGCCATGCATCAGACTCACCATCACTTTCCTTAACAGGCATAGGTTTTTTGCTCCTAGTATTCACTTGCCTCCCTGCTCCTTTTTTTTCCCAACCACAACACCATACTTATTTGTTGTGCTTCTAGGCACCCTCCACTCTTTGGGTTTAATTCTAGTTTGTTCTTTAGCCTTACCAACAGAACTAGAAGAGGCCCTAGTTTGGGTTGGTTGCCTTGGTGCAGCTGATGTTGGTTGCGGTGGAGGTGGTGTAGGCTGTCTGGCTTGGGTTGGTGCTCTCTGAATATGTGGGTTGTTTGGGGAAGCATGGTGTGCTGGTGTTGGTGGTGGAGAAGGATGCTCTTGGGAAACATTTGGTGGTGGAGGTGTGGGTTGTCTTGGTTAAGTGAACTGTGTAGGTTGGGTTTTTTTCTTCTTTGGAGTTAGTATTTTTCTTCTTGGAGTTTTCTTTGGTGGTGATGGTGTCTTACTTTTTTCATTTGTGGAATGTTCTGTGAGTTGAGATGTTTCTTTTTGTGAGGGTTGAGGTTGAGATTCCCCTGGAAATACCTCATCAGCTGCTGGGGTGTTAAATACCCTAACATATTCAACCCAGCATCATTTGCATTCACAACAGGGACCTCTACAGCCACAGTAAATGGTTGTTGGGCCTTAAGCTCCTCCTCAGCTTCTGGTGCCTCTACATTTCTCCTATTCTCTTCCTCCCTTTGCCTAATTTTTTCAGCCCTGTTCTTCAAAGTTTTTTCCTAACTAGCTTCTGCAGACTGAAACACAAGAATGGTGTTTCCGTCTCTTCTATGAACACTTCTATTTCATCCTTCCCTTCATTCCACTCCCACATTTTCAACATTGCCCCATCATCAACTAACTCTAACTTACGATTAGTGCTAGGTTTACTCACAAACAAGGTGAAGTATTAAGGAGGAAAACATTATGCTTGACTGAATCCTCAAACATGTACTCAAACAACTCCATCAAATTGGTCTTATCAGTGTCATCCACCCTAACATCAAAAGAACCACTTGTAGAACGAACTAACAGCTAGCCACAACATTTAACAACAGCATATTGCATCACAATCCAAACAACAATTCGCATACAACACATCAAACTTAACCTAAATAATTCAAATTCGAATTTAATAGCATACCAACCAAACTGACATGATCATTGTCGAATAAACCCTAGCCCTAACTCAATTTCGTAAAAAAACAACAAAATTAGAGCTCGAAATGCAAATCGATAAGGATAGTAATACCTTGCGTATTCTTAATCCATCCCAGGTGCGAACTTGGTGCGAAATTCAGTCACGAACACCTTTCTCTCTCTCAAACCTCGTCAAGCTGCTTCTTTGTTCAATCGTAAGCCCCAATTTACTTTCCTAGTTGAAATCTACTTTACACCTTCGAAAGTTTGAGGCTTTTTGATTGATTTTAGGGTTGAAGTGTAATGGAGAAGAACATAGAGTAGCTTCAATGGAAAAGGGAAATGGGGGGGTCAATTTTTTCGAAGTGGAAATGTGATGTTTGGGAGAGTCAACCCTATTAATGGCGCCAGTTGGATGTATAAGGGCATAATAGTAAATTATCCCAAACGGAAGACTAACGACAGTTACCAAAAAAAGGCATTTTGTGTTAATGTACGCTAACTGAGTGGTATTTGGTGTATTAGAAAGTTTTTGGTGGTATATAGTGAACTAAGCTTTAACTCAGTGGTATATGGTGAAAATTCCGTATTATTATTATTATTATTATTATTATTATTATTATTATTATTATTATTATTATTATTATTATTATTATTATATCTCAAAAACAGACAAAGTCATACAACTTACAAAAAAAAATTATTGGGAAGCTCTTATCGCCGGAAAAATGACGTGGAACCCTACCCAACCCTGCCCTAGTCGCCTAAGCGAGAGGAAATAATAATATTATTATTATTATTATTATTATTATTAATTATTATTATTTTTATGTAGAGTAGAGCATATTTAAGCAAAGCAGAGCAGAGCGAAACAGCTCAAAAGAATATAGCCTAATTCCCTTGTTTGTTTAAAGGGAATGGAAAATAAACTCCCACTCAATTCTCACATTTTTATTACCTAGGGGGGGCTGGTAATTGGGGAAGGAATTGAAAGAATAAGATATGACTAAATTGCCATTAATGAGAAAGGTGAAAAGGAAGGGGAAAGATATGAGTAAGGGCATTGATGTAATTTCTTAGTAAATATCAACATATTCCTAGCAACTGCCAAACAATGGATTTTTATTCCCTTTCATTAATTCCCAACAACAAATCCCCACCCATAATTTCCCAAATTCTCATTCCCACATGTCAAACGCCCCGTTAGGTAATGGTAATTTTACCCGAGTCTTCTAACTAAACACTTCCAACCCTAAACATACTCTTACCAGGTTGTGATTCATTTCTATTTAACCAAAATTAAAAAGCCTAAAGCTAAAAAAATAGGCAAAAAGCTAATTGCCAAACACCCCCAATATGAAACAGAGGTAGTATATCACTATTATGCATAGGGTTGTACATAGTTTGGTCTGAACCGTAATCAAACCGGATCAAATCGTATTTTAGTTGTATGGTTTGATTTACGGTTTATAACTAAAAATACGGTTTGGTTTAGGATTTTTTGTAAATACAGTTTACGGTTTGGTTTGGTTTTTCAAAAAGTTTAAACCAAACCAAACCGTAAACTAGTAAACCTTATTTAAATATTTATATAATTTTTAAATAAATTAAAATTATTATTATATATTAAAAAAATAAAATAAATAATAATAAACATTAAAAATCAAAATACAACATAGGGTATACGATTGGGCTAATTATTTAAACTTTATTATAAGTTAATGAAGTATTATTTGGCAAGTTTTAGGAAAAAATATCGTCTCCTTATAAACCGCAAATCAAACCGCACCAAACCGTATTATTACGGTTTGGTTTGGTCCGGTTTGGATACTAATACGGTTTGGTTTGCTTTGAAAAATTGACCAAACCGTAATTTGCAGTTTGGTTTAGTTTGGTACTCAAACCGCACCAAACCGGACCGTATTCACCCCTATATTTATGCATTCGATACACCATACAAGTAAGTTGAGATATGAGTTATAAGGGTCGTGGTTCTCCTTATTTTGACCACGTACACTTGGTCATGATTATTATTGGTTAAGAAACATAAGAAAAGGGGATACAAGTTATGTCCCCAAGGATGCTCTTGCACACTCCTCCATATCTCATACGATTTCCCACATAAATGTAAAGTGACATTTCATGGAAGGTACCATTAAAGCTTAAATGCAAACACCTTACCTTTTTAACCTAGATGGCTAATTTTTACTAGCCATGACATACAACTCTATTGGGTGTTTGACTAGACAAATTAATTCTATTCTATAATATGATATTAAATTTTATACTAACACAAGAAACGACCAACATTTTGTAACGCCAAAAAACATCCCAAAACTAGCAAATAGTTGAGTGCATAGTCTACGCACACTGGCCACCACTGCATGCGTACACTTAATGTGGGATTGACCAGTCCTTCAGAGCTGCATTTTCTTCGTTGCATGCATACCTCAAATTTAATACTAATTTCTTCACAAAAAATGAATTTTAAAACTAAAAATAAACATAATGAAAAATGTACATTTAATGCTAACTGCACAAAATCAAACATCTTTTAATGGGTTTACTGCTGTCGAATTACCAAGGACACTTTCTTCTCTATTTTACTTCAAATTACTTAATTTGCTCTTTATTTTTATCTTATAATGGTAAGAGAAAGAGAGCATTAAAAGTGAAAACTACATGTCCTAAGAGATTTTTGTTTTGAACTGGGGAAAGATTTAACAATTCAATGAAGTAACTTAATCACCTGATAAAAAGTTTAAATTTTACCCTTTTTCAATCGATTTAGCTATTCTCTCTGGCCAAAAAGGATTGTCAATCTTAACCCTATGTATAATTCAAACTTTCAGAATTAGACTATCAATTTCTATAAAAAAAATAATAAATAATAAATAAATAAAAAAACAGGGAGTATTTTTTATTGTAACGCATGGATCAAAATTATAGGCCAAAATGTCTTGAACGCCGCAAAAAAGTGATTTTTTAGTACACATCTAAGTAATTAAAAATAACTTAATTAAAAAATGAGCTACTTTTGCGGCATTACTTAATAAATAATATGGGTGTTATCTCCACAAAATATTGAATGGATACCATAACAAAGTGGAAAAGCATCATCCAATTAGTGGGAGTAGGCAGTTATCCAACCATTGACAATAAGCTCAAGATGCGAGTGATCATCCTCTGCATCCTGCTTGCATTGCCAGCAAATTTCTTGACCAATTTCTTGCAACTAGAATTTGACGGAATTTGCAATTAAATAAATTAGTAAAATGCAGCTCTGGTGTAATAAATATTACAAAAACTTTCTTTTTTTTTTTCCCTGGATTTCTACACAACTGACCCGCCTTAATTTATCAAACACCCTTCCTCTTTTTAACCTGTTGTAGGAAAGAAACAACAGAGGATAAGATGGGATTAAATTAAACATTTTTCCTAAATTACGGTTCACACAAAAGACCAGTTCACAAAAGTGAAAGCAAGACAATGGACTGTAGTCTCGTCTGCAGCAAAGACTTTCCATGCAATTGCTTGTTCATAAGAAACATTACGGCCCATAGTTGACGTGCAAACTCCACCAGGTAAGCAAGCATAACCCTGAAAGAAACGGAAATTTTCAGAATCCATACATGGCATGAGAAATATATGAACAAATAAAAGACAGCTCATTAGTATACCAATTGCATTATCTTTGGAAAGTCGGAGCATAATGATTTCCGGCCTGATTCATCAAATATTTTATCTAGGGTAACATCTTGTAGTGCAACCAAAGTTGTCTCCAGCATATCAAGCCCTGCTTGGTTTGCGAAGATGAGAACTGGGAGGGACTGCAAAGTAGAGGAACGGGATTAATCGCGGTGGACAGAATTGTTTAACAAAATCAAACTAATATGTACAGCCCCTGATTATACGGTTAATATAGGCTTCATAAAGGGTTTACAATGGTCAATCCATTCAGCAATGAAAAGGGATGCCATAAAAGGAGCTGAATGAAAACAGTGCATTGTTATAACAATATGATAAATAAAAAAAATAAAAAAATAATACTTCGTATATATTATTCAATTGCATTGTCACCATACCTTCAACGAGCAGCACACGATAGCATCCTGGTGATGCCAAAGATGCTTCAACACTGTGTCATCACCAGCAGACGAAGTCCTAAGCAATTCTGTTCCCATATGGTAACTGCAGAGAAGAAATGACCACCATTTGATGATAATCATTTTTCTTTTAATCGTATATACATACAAAGGCCTTAAAAGACCTTTCCCCACTAGCACAGGATGCAGAAATGACATACCTGTAACTTTGACAAATCCAATGAGCCAAAGTAAGCGCCTCTGGAGAGCCTGGAGATAATTTTGGACCCACTGTCGGACTTGCTCCTGAAGGAGATATAGCCATGGCAACCCTTTGCACGGAAGATATAACAGTACGAACATATTGGCGAGCCATTGTAGCAACATTTTCTTGGAGGCTTATCTCAAATGGGAATTGGAAGGCAATGGTCAACACAGAACGAGTGCTGCCAGAAGAAGTCGCATCAGCAGCTCCATTGTTGGTCGATGGACCCACTTCAAGACTTGAAGTTAGGTCAAGTGTCCGATTTGTTGCAGTTTCCTAGATGTCATATAGAGAAAAACAGAGATTCAGTTTCCTAGATGTCATAGAGAAACAGAAATTCCATGTCATGACAGTACCAGTCAAATTGCAGCTGGGGAAAGGTGAAAATTGAGGTCACATTATATTTCTGGATATAAGCTAGGTGGTGTGACTACATTGGCCATGATGAGCATATAAGATGTTCTCTATAGTTCTCAAATAGATAATATATATATTTAAGCCAGCATTAACAACTTTATCAATTGATGGTAGAAGTCAATTTGATAATTTGTGAAAGTTATAAAATGTTAAGTTCCGTAGAAAGACAGTTAAATGCTATACCTAGACCTTAAATACAAGCTGTACAATTAGCCTCAACCAAGTTAGGGTTCCTACAGAGGTGGGTGTTGGGTAAAATTGAAGAGAAGAGCATAGACTATCTTTTAGCATGATAACCCTAAATCACAACATAGGACTTAGCTGATTCAATAGTGTTAAAGACGGTTTATTTCAGAATTCAGACAGCACTGCAAAGTGAGGCAATGTCCAGTGCAGTAAGACATAATTAACTTACTGGTTTTGAATCCAACGGAATAATACGGAACCCAGAAGGAAGCAAGGGAGCATCATCTGGAAACATTTCATCAATTGGCGCAAAAACAAGTTCAGAACAGGCTCCAACTGCATTCTCATCTATTCCACTGCATATCTGCTACCAAAAAAATCAATTAGTTCTAGAATCTGAGCAAAACAATGGAGGTTAAAGCACTTATACATCAACTAAGGGAAGTACGGAGGGCCATAAAATGAAGCAAAAGTAACAAACTAGGCAAAGGACTTCATAAATAAACAATCAGGATAACACAGAATAAAGTTCAGGATTAGGAAATTGTGTCAAATTAAACACCAGAAAAAAGTCTTATTTTCAAAAAGTGCTCCAAGATACTGAAGATAAGTTATAACTATGTTGAAAAACTTGAATCAATCGGTAATAAATTGATAGATAATAGATAGGAGAATGATTTTCCAAGCCATTGAACTTCTCAAAGCTTCCAATTACTTAGACGTACCAAGTTCCCTCCATTCAAGCCTCTTTTTCTATTTCTGAGAGGAGACTTTTTTCAACAGACATGAAAGTAAGACTGCCTACTTCATCAAAGACCCAATTTGGCCTCTATCTTTTACAATTACAATTGATATCTTAATTTAAGTTGAGCCAAATCAAGAATGTTGACGATGTCTGTGTACCGTTAATTAACCAGATATAGTAAATGCGCATAATCTATGGATTCTTCAAAGGAAATGTAGACAAGGAGGTTGGAATGGAAGAAGCACACATTTGAGTTAATGGACAAAAGAATAAGCAGTTAATGACCATCAGAGGAGAAGAGTAAGTTAGGATAGACCTTACTAGAGTATTGAAAGTCACAAGTTACTGAGATTCTAAAAAATACCTGTAACAGATGGATGTCTCTAGAGATATAAGCATCTTCTGGAGTAAGAGAATGTCCTTCCAACCGAATAACCTCCAGCATCTGGCATGCAAACAACAGATAGAATGAATTATAGAAATAATTTAGAGGACAATCAACTGCTGACACACATATTGCAGTAGCAATATTAAGATAACACCATTAAACATATAGATTCACCACTCACTACAGTAAAATGCATCAACTAAAAGATTTTTAAGTATTATTCATGACCAAGAATGGCAGACATGATAGAATAGTCCAACTCTTAAAATTAAAATCAACATACTTCTTCATTCTCAATTGTGTGTCCAAGAGGCATGATAATTTGACTTCCAGTAAACCTTGTGGCCCTCATCCCAGGAAATGCATATGCATTCGACTTCAAAGCTGCTGCAGAATACGCATCAACACTAAAATCAGCCCACTCTGACCGATGCTCTCTCAAAAATCGAACCAGCACTGCAGGAGGTACATTCTGCACAGAGATGTTCATCACATGAAAACCCACAACTCCTAAACCAGAAACGGTAACAGATCATCTGCCAAAATGCTCAAAACAAAATTGGCATGCCCACTGCCCATGTTTCACTTTAAAGTCAAGAAGCTATCATAGATCAGGCTGATTCATAGAACTAGCATATAATAATACAACTGAGTTAGACATATATCGCGTTTATGTAACTTTTCTGAAGAAGCATTGGCATTTTCTGAAACACAGATTTAAATATGACTTCCACTAGACAAAGGGTTTGTGGGAAGATAAGTAATAGGGTGGGAATTTAACCCTAGTAAGATAAAGCTTTATCTACACGAGAAACAGTTTAATTCCAGAGTAAAAGGGGCAGAAGAGTGCAAACTGCAAAGTAATTAACATGGCAGAATTCAAGCTATTAGATGATCAGGATATTGTTACCTGAAGTAGCATAGATGCCTTTGCACACAGGACACCACCAACCATAGGAAGTGAGCTTGCAGCATTCAAAGTGGCCATAAAAGTCTTGGCAGAATTACAGGCAATTATGACATCTTCAGCACCATCACAAGTCAGCAATGTCCAACCATCATCAGGGAACCCATTGATAGCATCATTAAAACCTCTGGAGCAAACCAATAAACACAAGTTTTAAAATCAAAAAACTGATCCCAGATATAAGAAACAGCAAAAGCAAAGCAGCTACATCATACATGTGTCCATCACTTTCACTTGTGCAATCACAAAGAACCAAGTAATACACATATAACAGCCACCACAAAGGCAATATGCTTTGCAAAATGAAGACAACGTATCTTAGTGTAAGGGAGGTACCTGCTCAATCTCTGACTAAACGTCCGTAAAACAGCCGGTTGCCTACCCAAACTATATACCACCTCCCCACTTGTCTCTTGTGCAATTTGTCGGATGTAGCGTAAAGCCTTTGTCAGGAGGGAAAAAATTGGTCAGATTAGGTCACAGCATGATAATACACTAAATTATTGCTTATTGATCACAATTGATGCCATTAGTAGTAACATGTCACTGGTCCCTTTCCTCTCCATTAAGATCAAACAGTACCGTACTACTATAAATAATTACTTCGTATAAATTAACTTACTGCTATAGTCATTTTCTGGGCCACAACTTTTGATGATTGATATAATGGCCGCAGCACCTCTGGTACACTCCATGCCTACAAATATGATAGGTAAGCTTTTTATTCAAAGCACTAGAAAACAACTTAACCACAAAATGGCACACAAATGACACAACAAACCTCAAGATTGAGGTGGTCTACTATATGGATGATTGAACCACCACCGTCGCATGGCCTAATAAGATAGCCACTTGGAAGCATATCAGCTCTTATAAACTGAGGAGCAGCAGTATTTGGTCCAGAACCCGATAGAGATCTCTCACAAACCTTAAGGCATTACAAGGAAACAGCATCAGCTAAGGTCCTCCTGGTTAAGAATAATACACTACAAAGTACATAAACCCATGACAACTGCACCTCACTTCAGCCCAGATATAAACAATGAATTTGGGTAGTCAATAATCACTAGCAAGCAGAAGACGATACATACTCAGTAATGCAGAATAATCCAGGCATATCCCTTAGCCTTATTATACATCACTGAAACATGTTCTTATCCAGAAATAGTATTCACATATAATATTTGAGATGTCCACTTATGTAGTTAGTTAGTTACCTTTCCTAATATTAGTTATGGATTGGACTTCCCAGTATTGGGATCAATGTTGAAATAGCCTAGCTAGTCAAGTCATATCATAACTATGAGGAGTTGGGACAGTGTGAAATGCGCAACTGTTATAGTAAGAGGAAATATAAACAGTAATCACAAATGATACAAAAGGTAAAGCCTCGGATGTACATACCACGACACTGCCATTTTCTAAAGTTGTGGTATATCGCAGAGTCCAAAAATCACGTGCAGGAGCCAAAGTAGTTGGGGCATATATCTGAAGTAACCAGTAGCAACCCATGAGGAAAACACATCTAAAAGCAGATAGCTATAAGAAAGTCAAATACAACTTTTATCAAACCTGTGTATATATAAGTTCAATTGTTCCTCCATTTCCAGCAGGAAACATAGTGAATACTTCAAGGCTCCGGCAGTCCCGGAACCATGATGGACGATCTTTAAGGATCTCTGCAATCTGGAAAATGGTTTAAACATTAGAATACCTTAATTATGTTGCTGACACCCCGCAAATGAATAGGGTAATGTACAAAAATATCAAAATGTGTTTTTCAATCAACTTACCTTAGTGGGCTCTAAACTAACAAGACCGCAGGCTCGAGCTGCCACTCCACTACAACGATGTGAAATGGCAAAGATCCCAACCGAATCCGGACCAGGCTGCGATAGTTAGCAAGCAAATTGCTTAGATTATTATGTATTAATGGTAGAAGATTATGGGCTAAGTCATCAATTTAATTCCTATTTTACAATTAATCTAGTCAGGTAAGAATTTCAAACCTTCATCCCAGGCATCTGAACCCAATCAACAGCAGTCCCAGTTGCCTTAGAAAGGAACTCTGCCAATGTCTCCTCCGCAATAGACAGGAGTCTGTCAACAAATACAAAAAAGGGACACGTATTATAAAAATGAAACATAACACTCATAAAGGCATAGAAATGGACCAAAAATGCCTTTAAATCCTTACCCAGCAGGGTTATTGGTGTCTCTAAGATTATGCTGAGGAGTGGTGACCACAGACTCACAGCTTCCATCAGTGGTCGCAGTTGGTGCCTGTAAAAAAGAATCATTGAATACATCAAACTCTGCTAAAAAACCGTTGACCACGTTCAAAAATAACAAATTCCATCTGAAATAACACTGCACCCTGAAAATTTCCAAACATAACTAGCACAATTGAACCACTCTACTCAATTAATATTCTATCCCAGTAGCGCGATAAGACTGTGTTCAGATAATGGCACTATAGGAAACAATTAACCATAACCACACAATGGATGTCTAAACTACAATACATACATTGAAAGCAAGTAACAAATTCAGATAAGATTTTATTAGCAATTTTGAATTTTTTTTTTTTTTTGTGAACATTTTCTGCCTTAAAAATAAAAGGAATTAAAACACCAACAAAATTGTTCTACATTCAAACATAATTCCAAAAAAAAAAAAAAAAAAAATTAACCAAAAATATCAAATTTAACCAATAGAATTAATGCAAAACAGAAATCCCACCAAATTCAATTTTTTTTTATATAGATAGAAGTATATTTCTAGTCAAAATTCCAACCATAAATAAGCTTTACTATCCAGATCAATTACAAAAAATCTGTACAATAATGGTAACAAGATCTAAATTACAGCATTTATTTACAGCCAATTAATTATAAGTGGAATACATAAAAATAAGTAAAAGAAAAGAACATACAGTATGAAGTTGTTGGCGCATAAACCCATTTTCACACACCAACTGAGAAACCTGCTTCTGCAACCGATCATTCTCTTCCATCAACAATTTATTCATAGCTGATAACTTCCTGTTCACCGTCTGTAACCTCGACGACTCTTTCCTCTGCTTCTCCCTACACCTATTCGCCACGAAAACAAAAACAAAATTTGTTCTTCATAAATGATTTCATCTTTCAAAAAAGAAAAATCAATCAGGCAATTGATCGAGATTACCTTCGATTCTGAAACCAAACTTTGATCTGTTTGGGCTCGATGTTGGACAGGATAGGACACTCACGAATCAACTGTTGACGCCGTAACGAGCTGGGTTTCGGACACTCGGCGTAAACTCTCTCTAAAGCGTCTACTTGTTCAGCTGTATATCTGACGTACTTTCCGGCATCAGCCGATGAAGCCGCTGCTGCTGCCGCCGCCGCCGCCATGTGTTTGCTCATTCCGCTACTTCCTCCACTTCCACTGCTGCTCTCTCGGTGCACAACCATCGCCATTTTCTCTCTCCTCTCTCTTCTTCGTTCTTCCTTCCTTTTTCTTGCTCAATTTCGGAGAGAGGGGAGACCAACAACTACAAAACTTATATCTGACCTAAGAATCAGTACTTGGTCTTACGTAATTTGATAAAATGTAGTATTAATTTAATTCAAACACGGGTTTAACTAGATCACGGTACAAGATTACTGTTCCCTTGTTCGTGATCTACAAAAAAAATTAGTAAAAATTAGAGCAATAATTTAGCAGAATTAAGAAGAAAAATGGTGGGATAGATTGTTTAAAATGGAATTTTGTTTTGATTTTTGGGGTGTGTGTAAATTTGAGTCTGGGAAGAAGATGAAGAAGAAGAGGCATTTAGTGAAGAGGGGAAGAGAGAGAAAGAAGAACCCTAAAAGAGGAGAGAGAAAGAACATCCATGGAAGTAAGAAAATGAAGAAGAGTGATGAGTCATATCTGGAAAAGGAAAGAGGAAGAAGGAGGAGAGAGAAAGAGAGTGAGTGGGAGGGAACAGTGACAGAGTGAGTGGGTAGGAGAGAGAAGGGAGGGTGAAAAAGGAGGAGAGAGAAACGAAAAATATGGTGTTTGTTGTTGTTTTTTAATAATTTAATTTAATTAAAAATGTAAAATTGGGGTGTTCATATTTCATGTCATTAGGCTCGTATCTCGATGAACCCTGGCCCCCTGCCTTTCCGTTTCATTCCTTTTTCGGTTTTTATATTCCTTCTTATAAACTTGTTCTTTCTCATGTGATTTTGTTACAATTACACCCAATGTTTCGTTTCTACTCCTTTCGTTCTTATTTACTTGTCACGTTTTTCTTATACCGGTAAAACAGTAAGAATAATTAATAACTATATTTGTTTTAATTTAGTTGACATAATTTAATTTTTATCAGTATTTACTATAAATTAACTTGACTTTATTTTATAATTTAATTATAAGAAGGGAAAAAAAAAACACTCTGGGTTGGGATTTTGTTTAATTCGTCTTAACATCTATTTTCCATGTACCAAATCTTTATAATTCTTGATTGTGCATAATTGAATATATTATTATTTGAAGATATACATTGATAAACACGCTTAAATAAAATGTGTCTTTGAAATGGAGAAAGTATTTCTCCATAAATACTCTCTTCGTCCCAAACGTTAGACTTTTTTTCACTATTTATATATTAGCTTTGACTTTAGTTTTTTACTGACATAATAACAACATATACTGGTAACAATAACAAGTTTGCTGCTTATGCAGCCTCCTCATCACAGTCCTATGCTTGCAAGCATGAAGCAAAGGTGGAGATAGCATGAGCTCTTTCTTCTCTGGTCATTACAACTGCTCTAGAAGCTCCGAGATGATTCTACAATTAGCTAGAAGATTCCTCTCCAAGATAGCTAGTTTTGCCAGTCAGCTTTGCTCTAAGAGAATTCTGTTATGCTTTGTAATTAATAATTATTTTGTAAGGATGTTGTAATCTATATATAGAGCTAGTGTTGTAATAATTTGTTTTATTATATACAATCAAAAAAATTCAATTACAAAGCTTCTCTCTCTCTCTCTCTCTCTTAAATCTCCATCATAAACTCAAAAGAAATATGCTAAATTATAGATTTCAACATGGTATCAGAGCAGATATATCTCGATTTTGGATGATTTCTATTGATTCTAAAGCTTCTGCAATCTTTCTACGCTTGATCTTCAGGAGTTTGTCTTCAACAAATTCTTCGACAGAAATCGCAACTTGATTTTTGAGGTGTCAAATTGAATCGCAAATTTCTTGTTACAAAATTCCTACTGCAATTTACTTAGTAGCTTGATTACAACTAGTTGCTGTTTGAATAGCATACAAATTTGTTTTTAAATTAGAATACTAGAAGCTAAGTTTTCTTCATAAATTTGAGATAATTGAATTCATAAATCCGAGAATAGTTGAAAATATGGCTTCCCATTCAAAAAAAAAATATATGGCTTCAAATCCACAACCTCTTCCAATTGGACAAGATCCTTCATCACCTTTCTATATTCATCCTTCTCATATGAACTCCATGCAATTTGTCACAAAAAATTCAATGGAGAAGGTTACACTGATTAGAAAAGAAGTATGACTATAGTATTTTTCAGCTAAGAACAAGTTAGGTTTTGTAACTAGAATTATACACAAACCTAATCCTGAAGATGTCACCTACAAACAGTGGGAAAGATGTAATGACAAGATGATTTCATCAATAATCTGGATACTACTACAACTCATAGTGTCTTATACTACAACAGTACAACACTGCTGCTGAGATATGGAAGGATCTTGAAGATAGATATGGAAACACTTCTAGACCACAATTGTATTCAATTGAACAATAATTATCAGAAGCGAGTCAAGGAATTAATTCAATTACAATATTCTACGCTAAAATGAAGATGCTATGGGATAAGCTGAATGCTGCTAGTCTACTTCCTATTTGTACATGAAATTAGTGTATATGCAATTTAACTCAGAAGATCTTCAAGTTACAGCAAGATAAGAGATTGATGCAGTTCTTAATGAAATTGAGTGAGCATTATGCTGCAATCAAAGGAAACATCTTGATGATGAATCTACTACCTACCTTGAGTCAAGCTTATAGGTTATTGATACAAGAAGAAAGGCACAGAGAACTTAGCTCTATGCATATTGTTAATCAAGGCTCGAATGATTCCATGGTTTTTGCTTCAACCAGGAAGTTCAATGATAGACTACTGAACAAAGGTTTTAAGCCTTAAGAATACAGATCTAGTTATCAAGCTAACAATAATCTGTTATGGTAGGAAACAGGAAAGTTGCGCCAACTTTTTGCAATCACTGCAATAGACCTGGTCGTTCTATTGACAGTTGCTGGAAATTACATGGAAATCCTGAAGATTTCAAGAAAAATGTATGCATGGCATAGGAGTGGCTGCTGCTGTTCAACAAACTGAAATAGTTTCTAACGAACTTGCAGAAGGCCATATTGATCAAGTCAATAGTCCTATCATCACATTGGAGAACTATAATCATCTCCTGGAATTACAAGGAAAGCAAAATACAGAATTTGTAGCTAATCAAGCATTAAACATTGATGTTGATGCGCAAGCTAATCTGGCAGGTAAATTCTATCTTTCATCCTCTCTAAATGTTGGCTGGTTGATAAATAGTGGTGCTACAGACCACATTTGCACCAATTTGAGTATGTTCACTTCCTATAAAAGATTGACAGGCTCAAATAACACTATAAATATACCAGATGGTAGTAAGGTTGAAGTCATGCATATACGCACAGTTGTCATCAACAACATTATACATCTAATTGATGTATTACATGTTTCCGCTTTCAAATTTAACTTGCTTTATGTTCCCAAGCTTTGCAAGGATATGAGTTGTACAGTCTTGCTCACACAAAGTGCATGTTTTGTTTAGGGTCTTTCTCAGGGTTCAATGTTGGTCTATATTACATTGAAGAACAGAAGTTTGCTACTAGTAGTGAATTGTCTAGATAAATTTCCAAGATATGTAATAATATTAGTTGGAATCAAGCTAGTAATGCCACTAAGATAGCAGAATTATGGCATCTTAGGTTAGCTAGGCCATTTTCCTTGTCATAATTTCAAGCATGTTTTGCATCAAATATTGTACTGATAGTGTCTTGTGCAAAATTTGTTTGCTGCTAAGCAAACTAGGAAGTCTTTTCCTAAGAGTTCAATAAAGTCTTGTAAGTACTTTGAGCTAATTCACATTGATTTATGGGGTCCTTATAAGGATCAGACATATAATGGATGTAATCAACTTTAGACAATTTTTTATCATTACACTAGATTTACTTGGGTTCATTTACTCAAATTTAAAAGTGATGCAGCCTATGTTATAATCAAATTTACACACTATGTTCACACTGAATTTGACTCTAAAATTTTGTGTAAGGTTTAATAATGCCTTAGAGCTAACTGAGGGTTCTATGAAGCAATTCTACGTCAAGAATGGTATTGTGCATTAGACTAGTTATACTGGCACACCACAACAGAATAGGGTTGTGGAACGCAAGCATAGACACTTATTGGAGATTGGCAGAGCTCTTAGTTTTTAATTTAAGCTTCCTTCGAGATTTTGGGGAGAAATAGTGTTGTGTGCAATCTATTTGGTGAATAGAATGCCATTGGAGAGCATCAATCATTGTACACCTTTTCAGAGACTTCATAAAGTTCAAGCTTCATTTGACAACTTGAAATTTTTTAGGTGTCTTTGTTTCTATTCTAGATTAAAAGTTCACAAAAGCAAGTTTGATGCTAGAGCTTCCTTTGCTGTGTTTATTGGTTACTCTTTGCATCAAAAGGGCTATAGGGTGTTGGATTTGGGAACCTACAAGATTCATATCACCGGGGATATGGTATTTCATGAACACCATTTTCCTTTTCATCACGACATAGAGTCAAACCAGATCTTACCTATAATTTTCCTTCCTCAACACACTTCCAATTACTCAGATTCTTTTGGCGCTCCTCTAATTTTCACAACTTCGTCTAATTCTTCTCGTTCTATACATGAACTCAAAGTTCTTCTTTTAACTTTGAAGATGCATCCACTCGGGCAAGCATTCATGACAACAAACCTGCACCCAACTCTCCAATTCAATCTTCTCATCATATTTCTCCTTAACAAACTAGACAAACATCTAAAATTTCTAGACCACCTAGTTGGATGAAAGATTACAAGTGTTATATAGCACAAAATCATTGGTGTAATTTTGTATCCTTTGATTATCTTCCTTCTGACTGAATCTAAAGTTAATCTTGCTCAAAGCTCAAATTTGATAGAACCAGTTTCTTATCTTAAAGCTTCACAGGGTCCTAACTGGTTTCAAGCTATGCATAATGAAATTACAGCCCTTGAAAACTATTGGGTGTAAATGGGTGTCCAAGCTAAAGCTAAAAGTAGATGGCACACTAGAAATATACAAGGCTAGACTGGTTGCTAAAGGCTTCACTCAAAAATATGGGGTTAATTTTGAAGAAACCTTTTCTCTAGTTGTCAAAATGTCTACAATCAGATGCATACTCTCAATTGTTGCTGCTAACAAATGGCCAACGCATAAACTAGACATGGTGGCTTAAATGAACAATGCATTTCTTCATGGTGGCTTAAATGAAGAGGTTTATATGAAGATGCTAGAGGGGATTCCGATCCCAACCCAGACAACAAAGTATGTAGGCTAAGAAAGTCACTCTATTGTCTTAAATAAGCATCTAGACAGTGGTTTTCTAAGCTACATAGTGAGCTAGTTCAACAAGGCTACTCTCAGTCCAAGAATGACTATTCTTTTATTTCTAAAAAGATCAAATGGATATCTAACTATTATGGCTATCTATGTTGATGATATCATCATCATTGAGAGTGACACATTAGAGATCTACCATTTAAAGACACATCTTGATACTACTTTTAGTATCAAAGATCTTGGCCAACTTAGTTACTTCCTTGGGATTGAAGTTACACATCTCTCAGATGGTATTATGTTAACTCAAAAGCAATTCACCAAGGAGCTCTTATCTTTTTGCGAAATAGATGTCTCTAAGACTGCTTCAACTCCTTTACCAATTAATCTCAAGCTTTTGAGTGCATGATTAAAGAAATTATTGTTCTGATATAGCTCTTTACAAATCATTGGTTGGGAAACTGAATTTTTTGACTTATACTAAGCCAGATTTGGCTTTTGCAGTTCAAACTTTAAACCAGTTTATGCATCAACCCAGAATACACTATATGGAATCTCTGCATCATGCATGTTCTCAGATATGTTGCAAGTACCATTGGTCAAACCATTTTGCTCAGGGCTACTAATTCTCTTTCTTTAATAGCTTATTCAGACTCTGATTGGGCTAGTTGTTCTAGTACCAGACATTTTGTTACTGGTTATATTGTCCTTCTTGTAGGATCTCCTATCTCTTGGAAATCTAAGAAACAAGGGACAGTTTCAAAGTCATCTTCAAAAGCTAAGTACAAGGCCCAATCATCTGCTGCTTCTAAGATAACATGGGTGGTTAGATTACTTGAAGAACTAGGTCTCTCAAATCTCAAGCTTGTTTCTTTGCACTGTGATAATCAATCTTTTATTCACATAGCTAAAAACCCAGTGCATCATGAGCATAAGACAAAACATATTGAAATTGATGTACACTTCACCAAGGATAAAGTGCTAAAAGGGTTACTTGAGCTTAATTATCATCCCACCCACCAACAACTTGCTGATGTCTTCCCTAAGGCTATTTCAAGACCTTAGTTTACGCTTCTTTTGTCCAAGCTTGGTTTAACCAATACTTTAGCCACCCCAAGCTTGAGGGGGGGGGGGGGAGGGGTGGGTATTGGTGATAATAACAAGTCTGCTGCTTATGCAGCCTCCTCATCATAGTCCTATGCATGCAAGCATGAAGCAAAGGTGGAGATAGCACGAGCTTTTTTCCTCTCCAGTCATTACATCTGCTCTAGAAGCTCCTAGATATAACTACAATCAACTAGAAGCTTCCTCTCCAAGAAGCTTCCTCTCCAAGATAGTTTGGTTTGCCAGTAGTGTTGTAATAATATGTTTTATGATACACAATAAAAATTTCTCAATTACAAAGCTTCTCTCTCTAAATCTCTCTCTCTCTCTTTCTTTCTCTCTCTTTCTCTCTCTCTCTAATATCTCCTAAATAATTTCATCATAAACTTAGAAGAAATCTGCTAAATTACAGATTTCAACAACATATTTTATCATAAAATATGTTGTGAGATAGGTATTGATATAAAGTTTCATAATATATTTTTTTTTATAACTTTCATTAATTAACTCATTTAAAAATAAAGTCAAAATAGTGCATCAACATTGCAAAGTTTGACTGTGTTAGTTATTCTGAAATAGAGAGAGTAGTACAGTATGAAATAGTCTGCATGCATGTATTTGCCACACTTTAATTGGCCTTACTTGGTGTATTGCGAAAGGTAATGTGATCATGTCAGTTGATATTGACTAGCTGATTACTTCATATATTAATTTGACTATATAAAAGTATTTAGTATTACTTTGTAATTATTTGCTTTTACCGTTGTTTGAGTATGCACAATAAAGATGGCTTTAGGGTTGGGCCACATGTTGGGCATAGACCTAGTTTTTTGTGATGTGAACCCAGCTTAACCTTCCGTTCGTTTTCAGGCCCATTCGAGCTCAATTTTGGACCGTGGGATAGCACATCAACATGGATCGGGCCACGGGCCATAAGCCCAGTAAAACACGACCCAACCCTTGTCTTTTATATACTTAATTTTTTCCTTTTCGTAACATTCTACTATTATTAATTTATATGTATTTCCTTTGTTATTTAGTATACTTATTTTTACCCTAATTTTTTTTCCTCTGATCATTCTTTAGGTTTTAAGGTCGTGTAGTTTCTTTTTTGTTTGTATTTAGGCTTGTACTTGTAAAACTGGTTGTGATAGATAAAATTGATTTTTTGTGTGTGATAAATTAGCAAAGTACATGCCACGAAAGTACTAATGTATTTTCCTTGGTTTTGAGGTGATGACAAATAGCTTAACTAGTTGCTACCTATTTTGGTATTGTCAATTGTTTCTCATGTGCAGTAATAGCTAGTCCAGGTACTTGAAGAATGTATGATAGCCTCCTTAAATGAATGTTCAAGAAAAGAAGAAATTCAATGTGTTGATCAAAGGAAGCTTCAAGATATATATGAAGAACATGAAGATCTGTAGCATATGACTTTTATTTTAGTTAGTCTTCCTGTTGTAAGTGTGCATGAGCAGTTGGATGGAGCCGAAATGCTTCTTATTAAAGAGTAAAAGTGTTGTAGGGATCAGGAATTATTATATTGACCTGGTACCAAGGACACTATCAGTTTAGGAAACAGAACAAAAAGTCTGTTTATTGAACTTGGTCTGTTAATTGGTGAATGTATGGTATTTCCAAAAGTTGAGGATTCTATCCTTAACATATTGTTATGTCGTCTCGGCGCGAACAAACTTCTACTTTTTATTACATACTCTCTTTGTCCCTAATTTTTTGCTCCATTGCAAAAATATGGGGCAAACTTTAAAATCTTTGGAAATTTTGTCAAAAAAAAAATCTTTTAAAAGCATCATTTTGCGAAAAAAAATCTATTAAAAGCTTTATTGTAAAAGAAAACCTAAACACACCTATTTTTTGTTGAAAACAACCTAGTACCTCTTATTCACATAATTAACCCCTAATTACTTCTAATTGCCCTCTAACTCTCACTTAACTATTTATAATAAAATTAGTTCATAAATTAAAAAACAAAAACCACCACCCCCACCACCAACCAGTCACCTACTCCCTTCCCCCTCCCCTGGCAGCAACTCCCACCACCGACTAAGCCACCAAAATCGTTGCCCCCATCCAGGTCAACCACGAAAACCACCCCAGCCACAACCTTCCACCAGCTAGCCTACTCCCATCGTCAACCACCACCATGAAAACCGCCTTACTCCCACCGTCATCCCACCACGAAAACACCCCGCCCAGAAATATCAAATCGACCACGAATTCTCGAAATACAACCCACCCTCGCCCACAAACACCCACCTCGACAAACACAAAAATCGTGTTCCAAAGAAGGGTTGAGAACAATAATCGGAGTTTGCACAATTGGAGGTCGAGAACAACAATCGCGGCAGACATGGTGCTGGAAGGAGGAGAGAGAAATTCAAGGTGAAATTGAAGTCTTCGATTGATAAAACAGGGTTTTTGTGAGATAATTTAGGGAAATTGAGAGGGAGAAGCCATTGATAACCAGGATTGTGCTAGGAGAGAAAAAGATGAAATTAGGAATTTTTGGAGGAATTGATGAAGAAGAAAAGAGGGAGTAATATAAGGGGAAAAAGGAGGGGGGGTCGGCCGGTGGTGGAGATGGGTCGCCGGCGGTATGGGGTTCAAGGCGGCGACAATTGTGGGAGGGGGCTGCTGCCAAGGAAGGGGAAAAGGGAGAGGGGTGGCTGGCTGGTGGGGGTGGTGGTTTTTTTTTTTTTTAATTAATAATTATAAGTTAATTTAATTATTAAATAATTAAATGAGAGTTAGAGGTTAATTAGAAGAAATTAGAGGTTAATTAAGTGAATTAGTGGGACTAGGTTGTTTTAAACTAAAAAAATTTAATTTCGGGTTTCCTTTTACGATAAAGCTTTTAAAAGGTTTTTTCAAAATGGTGCATTTAAAAGTTTTTTTTTACAAAATTTTCAAATCTTTAACTATAATATACTCTTTATCTATAAGAGATAAGTATAGTCATATGCGATCTTATTAGATTTGTTTTATTGTGTATTTTATTAATATCTTTGTCCCTAATATGTACACATATAAAATGGAGATACGATTTTAAAACATATCTTAATGACCTTAAAGAGTCAATGAAGCAAAATATTAGGGAAGGAAGAAGTACTACGTAACATCGTATACTTAAAACAATCTCCATTATATAAACATAGTTTGGGAAATTATATGTATACTGTATTTGTGAATTTTGACAGAATGGTATTATTTTCATATGCTATCGCACGCGTGAAAAGTAGTGTCACGTGCTACCCATGTAAGAATTTAAGAAACTGCAACACGATGACTGATGATAATTATACTCGTAGATAATTAATTAAATTATTTAAGGGAGCAAGCAATACCATCTATAGTTGGTAGGTCACTAATTTAATTGCATCGAGTATTTAACAACTAATTAAAATATATTATCATACTACTTTATGGAATTTAATGGAATGAATCAAAGAGTTAGTTAGAATTTCTTTTGCAAAAAATACTTACATTATTAGAGATAGGGTTAAAACTAATCTTTTTGTATCAATGATTGTCCAATTTTTAATCACAAAAACCGGCGATGATTTTTACTACCTTTTGCGATTATTGAACTTATTTAACTTTGTAAAATACAAATGTTTGCTTTTGTATTACGTCCATTGTTTTGGCACTGCCATATGTATGTTGCACCAACACATGTATGAAGACAATGCACTAAAATTTCTTAAGTCAAAAGGGAAGGAAAAAAAGAAAGACAGTGTATAGTTAATCAGTTACTATTAGCTTTGAAATGTACATGATCTTACTAGCTAGCTAGTCTTATACCTAGGATTGTGCACCAGTTCAAAACCGAAATCAAAATGGATCAGACTATGCCCGGAACTAGAATACAAAAATTCGAGGGCCATTGATCAAACTTAAATAATTCCAATCTAGACTGGTGTGGACTTGAGATCGGACACACTAGTGTAGGTTCAAGTCTAGACATCCTATAGAATTAATTATGCCTTCGAAATGGCAATTAAGAGTAAGATTAGAGCACCAATGTGGGTTCAAGTCTAGACATCTGATCTTATAGGATCAATTACGCCTTTGAAATGACAGCTAAGAGTATGATTAGAGATAATAAGGAATTATTGTTTCAGCAAGGGTCACATTATCTAGGAACCTCATTTTCTTATAGGAAGTATACCATGTTGCAAAGCATGGGGTATAATTATATATCTATTCATGAAGGGTGGTCTAAGGGCTATATTTGGTTCTAGTAATCAACTACTTATAGTATACATCAAAAAAACAAATGTCTATTTGATAATAGCTATAGTTGATTGATATCATGCTCTATTAATTATGAAGTATCAGATTCAAAATTGAGATAGCTTATTACAAACACAATTCCTCTTATAATATCTTCATCCCTCTAAACAATCAAATTTACCCAAATACTCCTCAATCAACTTACAAAGTTACAAACACCCCATAGAATTTTGTGACAATCCATGATGTAAAATATACTTTGTACTAAGCAGTTCACAAAAAAAAAGCATGTTATAAAGTAGGCTCCCAACTTGAGATTTTTGTCGGAAACTTAAATGTAGTAATGCTATTCAAAATTTTTGTGTTTTGTGGTATTTTTTTAAAAAAATAATAAATTAAAGGATAATTTGTAAATTACCACCCAAAAATGTACCTGTTTTTAAACTAATCATCTGTTTATTTTTTTATTTTAAAATTACCACCCCTTAAATTAAATAATCACTCAAATTACCACCCATTTCAAAATTTCGGTGGGTTTTCCGTCTGTGGGCCCCACCTAACGGCTATTTTGACCCTTTTGACTGATTTCTCCCCCCCGGGTTTTCTCTCTCTCCATCTTTCCTCTCTTCTTCCTACCTTCTTTCTACCTTCTTCAACCTTCAATCCTTCCATTTCAAGCTCACTTCCAAATTCTACCTTCTTCAATC